GTGGGTGTGAGAGTGTGTGTGTGTGTGTGTGTGCGTGTGTATGTGTGTGTCTGTGTGTGTGTGTGTGTGAGAGAGAGAGTGTGCGTGTGTGTGTGAGTGAGTGTGTGTGTCTGTGTTTGTGTGAGAGAGTGTGCGTGTGTGCATGTGTGTGTGTGTGTGTGCGTGTGAGTGAGTGAGTGTGTGTGTGTGTGAGGAGCTGCACTGGACTCAGAGAGTTGATCCACCTGGTGTAACGCTCAGTGGAGTCTTCAGGAACTCGACACACTTTACAACCCACAATCTGAGAAAACACACACACACACACACGACATTAGTGTTTATATTGAGTGTATAAGGGAGTGTGTATGTGTGTGTATGTATTTTTCTTAAGAAATTAATACTTTTATTCATCAAGAATGCATTAAATTTACCAAAAGTGACAGTAAAGTTACACAAGATTTCAGCATGTATTACTGTGGTGTGTTCAGTAACTACAGAACCGCCATTCACTAGACAGGGCAGATCACAACACAAACTCAAGTTACACCCTAAAACAACACACACACACACACACACACTTTCACTGATCCGTCTCATTTCCTGTCATGTGATCTCAGCTCTGTTTGTTTAGCGCCGCAGCTCTTCGGTCTGTCTCCGCTCCGCCTGCTGTGACCTGAGGTCAGAGGTCAAAGCAACAAACCGAGCCCTCAAAAACACTGTAAAAATAACCGCTGGCTCTCCTGCTGATGCTGCATATGAAAAATAACACTAAACCATGTTTACTGTCATGGTATATTAATATGGTACATATTTCAAATATTGTGAAATATTATTAAAATTTAAACTAACTGTTTTCTATGTGCTCTCTCTCACACACACACTAACACACTCTCTCATACACACACACACACTAACACACTCTCTCATACACACACACACACACACACACTAACACACTCTCTCATACACACACACGCGCGCGCGCATACACACGCACACACGCACACACACAGTATTCGAATAAAGTCAACAGAACTAATGGATTATGAGAGGCACAAGTCACA